ATTCACTACCATTTAGTGTGTAAGTTGCTTGTGCATTCTTAACCCAGAAGTGCATAACTTTGCATTTCTCTATGTTAAATTTCATCTGCCCTTTTAGTGCCCAGTCCCCCAATTTATCCAAATCCCTCTGCAGCAAAGCAATATCCACATTTATTACTTTACAAAGTTTTGTGTCATCTGCAAACACTGATACATGGCTTTCAATGCATATTTCAAGATCATTTATAAATATGTTAAATAGAAGTGGTCCCAAAACAGAACCCTGAGGGATACCACTTACCACTTTTGTCCAGCCTGAAAATTGACCATTAATTACAACTCGTTGTACTCTATCCTTAAGCCAATGTTCTACCCAAGAACAAGAATATTCATCTAGACCAATTTCTTTTAGTTTGAAGACTAACCTATTGTGAGGAACTGTATCAAATGCCTTGGCAAAATCCAAGTAGATCACATCCACTGCAACACCCTGATCTATACTTCTACTTACCTCTTTGTAGAATGCAATTAGACTTGATTCTACAAGAACCATGGCCTGCAGGGTACCAAGTGTCATGCTCTTGAAATATTTTTAGATTATCCTTATGAGTGGATAGCACTGGGCCTTAAATTCCTACGAATCACTTAGAATGTGTTTAAGGCCACTTGTATCTATTTAGTTAGATTTTTATGTATATAGAAGGTGTATATAGAAGGTGTGTGTGATGTCAGACTATGTTCATAAGTGTATTATTCTTTAGAATGAGGAATAATGCTTAGAGTATTGTGTTTTCATGCTAACATCATGCTGACAGTTATGAATATCATTTCTATGGTTGTCTTTTTTTATTGATTTGCAATAAATTCATAAAAGGTACTTATTATGTCTTCATATGAGCCTCTTCTCTGGTTCTCTCTCATGAGATTATAATTTATAATTGCTACCTAAAGGTAACCTTTGCTGACACCTGAAGATCAATAGGATGAGGGATCAGCACTACCACCAGCTAATGTTAGCCCACTATTGTTTTTGACCTCAGTAAGAAACTTCAGACAAAGATGTATTGAAGTGGGCTTTGGGAGATAATATTTGTCCACACAGCTGCCTGATGAACATTGTTACACAAACATAACTCTCTTAAACAATACAGCTTTGTTTAAACAGAAACTTTATTAAATAACATTTTGATGAGAGACTCTTTTCATATTCTTATCAGGAGCATATAAAATCTATTCACAAATGACTGCTATTTTAATGATGAGCAAAATTAAATAGCAACCTTGGTGATGAGCGTTGGTAAAGACCCAAAGGAAGACTCATTTTAATTAATAGTTGTGAGTTGGTATCAGAATGAGTTATTGCATCATTTCTGGTTTAGTGACAGAAATAATGACAGCTTGTTATTTACAAGAGGCCAAGTCCTTTGCTTGTCCTTTCTACCTGCACTATATCATGAGCATCAATACCCCCAATCATTTCCAGTCTGCCAAGTGAAAATGTTACGCAACCTCTCTTCAATTGATATGCCAAAAGGACTGCAAATTTATAGTTAACAATTAATTTAAATTGGTAAGAGAAGATATAGTATTCGAGGTTCAGTATAGCAGCACTTCTGAAACACAAGGGAAAATAATGTTTAAAACTTGCTAGAAATAAAATAACATATTTAAAGGGATACTCCAAGAACCTAAGGCACCATGCACAAAATCATGTGCATTTTAGTGTGATGTTATGTGTGTAGCTTTTGTAAAGATTTTTTAAATTACTTGTACCTTCATTCCACAATGTTGCCTGCGATGATAATTGTTATCTACAGCTTCAAAAAATGAGTGGTGAAACAACCAATCGAAAGGTAATAGATGTCACATGACATGTATACCATACATAAAGAAATTCACATAAGTTGACAAACACACCGTTGCATGCATGGCAGACCAGAACATGAGTGAAACTACTTACAAGCTGCAGAACAAAACAACTGTTACACAATAGTTTATGGGATATACACAGTCTATATTTCAAGTGGAAATTAATGGAATAAGTAAGATTGTCTGTGTCATATGAATATCAATAGAGAAGGAACAAATCCTAGTGAAAGATTCAGAAGTGGGTATGACATTTATTTTGATATTTTAATAATCTTCTTCCATTATTTAAATTCCTTTCTTTCCAACCTTGTGTATACACATTCGAAAGTACAATTTTTTTGGCAATCAATGCAAAACAAATTTTAGTCCATAAATATTTACTTTAGCACCAATTCTCACCGTGCAGAGAAACACAATATGTTGCCAGTACCCGATCAGTCTCTCTGGAGCTGTGAAGAGAAAAGTCCAAACTCATCAGAGAAGGGGAGATGTTTTATTGTATCTATTTATATATAATGCATTAAAACAGGTTATCTTTCAGTCAACTCCAAGATAGAGAATAACCCTGTCGGGGTTATTTACTTATCACCAGATTTTGTTGTAGTGGACAAAATCTGGTGAAAATGACTGATGTTTAGTGACAGGGTTTTTATTACTAAATTGAAAATTCAAAGTGAATTTAAAATCTAGAGTAACTGAATGGAAAGCATAGCTTACTGACATGTTTATTCACTAATCAAAATGAACTAATTTCAATTGCAGTGGCAATTCTCATGTTTACTAACGCCAAACAAGGTCGGAATGTGGTCGGACCTAGTGAATCTGCAACAATCACTCTGATGCATTTGGTGTCTGGATTAAAATCCGTGTTTATACCGCTAAACAGTATACAAATTATAGTATTCGAAGCACTCACAAAGCAGCAATATATAAATAAAACTCATTACAAAATGCAACTGATTGGATGCATGTTGTAAATTAGTGTTCACTACTACTTGTTTTGCAAGTGGATTGATAATTTGAGTGACTATTTGTCCACTGGCAGCTATAGCAAAGAGTTAAAACTCCTTGGCAGCACAAGGGTTAATCATGTGGAAGCTGGCAAGCCACATTAAGAAAGTCAAAAAAAACATTTTTTTTTAATAAAAAGCCAATAGAAGCCAAAGAGGTGTCAATAAGATTCCTAAATTATTATAAGTAAGGCTTAAAACCTGTGGACAGCAGGTTGGTGCTCTAATAATATTGAAGGGGGAGGACCTAGTGCCCATGGACGAAGGATGGGGGCTCTAAATAATGATACAATGGCGGATTAGACATGCCAATGTCTAGCTGCTCCCAGGTGGCTAGGATTGCTGAATAAACTAGCCACCCCACATTAGAGTTTAACAAACCTACCAACCCCTAATAAGAGTGAGGGGAGATAATTAAAACGAATATCTGACAAGAATAATGACAATCTAATATCCTCAATTTGCAACAAAAAAAAAGGAAAAACGTTTTTTTAAAGCACAGCAAAATACAAAAATAATGCATCTTTGCCCTGAGAATTCTCACTATACTAAATAACTCTCTACGAGTTTATCTACTGTCACAAACTGTGAGAGAGAAAGTCTGATAAGACATGTAGAATAAAGAAGGAGCTGTTCTTTCTGGAGAGTAAGTTATTCACAGTTGTTACTAATTTATCACATTTTAGTAGGATGGGACCTTTTTAGTGACTGTTCTACAACAAGCATAGGGGGCACAGAGAGGTTTTAAACTTCCTATGTAGCAATAGGCCCTTATAGCAATTAGCTATATCACAGTTCATTCAGAAGACTAAGAAAAGCCACACTTGCATGCTCCTGCACAGGGTATTCTCAATAAGAAGCCTCTGATTAGAGTATTCCCTGACACAGACTGAAAGACAGCAGGCTGGAAACAGCAAGTCTGCAGCTTTTTAAATCTATTTTTCATATACACCCAAAAAAACATGCAGAAAAAATACATGCATGTTTCCATCGGGGGTTTATTTACTAAATTGTTAAAACAAAATGTCACAAGAGTGTTCCTTTAATCAACGGGACATGTTGGTGAGTTAATGGATTGAAAAGTTGGAGAACTTTGTATCTACATGAGTTAAATCTTTTTTTCACCACAATGTGCTACTTTGAATGTTAACACATTTCTAATATTGTACTTCACTCAACAGTTTTGAAAAAAAAAAATTTTGTGTGTAAATTAGTCCGTCACAAATAATGTTTTCTGCAGTTGACTAATGGAATGTATTCTCTTGCCTAGTGCTGCTCTCTTAGCTGGTATTTCTGCAAAATCAAACTATTTCAAAAAAAATAAAAAATAAAACATGTTTGTGACTTAAATCATAGAAAGAAATGGGAATTGTGTGCACTCAAAGAGCATGTATTTCTCAGCAGTGGTGTGAAATAAAGACCAAAATTTATACATAATACAAATTAATAAATAGTGCACACACAAAAATACAGTTTTACATTTTACAATGCTACTTAATATCACCTATCTCAGCAAAAATATATGAGGATTCAGTTCCACCATATGGCCATTTCGTGTTAAGCCCACCACTACTTCACAGCATTCTACACTAATTTTAACATGGGAGACAAACTAATACTTAATAGTGACAGTGCTAAATTAATATTATTATTAAAGTGTATTTAAATAAATCCATTGTAAGTGCATTGTTAATATTTATTACTCAAAATGTGAACAAAAGCAATAAAAAAGCTAAATAATTAAAGTGACAGTGCTTTTAAGTATATATTAACAATACAGTGTGATAAATCTGCTCTAAAAAAATTAAATATTTTAAAAGTGATATTGCTAAACAGAATCTCGTCCAAAGTATACATTTGAGGATGTTTCTTCAATTGATGCTAGCAAATAATCTAAAGTCATGCAGTTTTGTAAAACACTCAATGTAATTTGCTCCTACTCAGCAAAAGAATAACATCCAGAATGACAGAAAAGGCCCCAGAGAGAGTGCGCAGCTTAACGGCCAAAGGTACATGTATGAGTGTGGGATGGATGAAACATGATTGGCTATTTGTAATTAGAGATGTCGCGAACCGTCCGCGAACTTCTCGCGAACGGTTCGCCACGATTCGCCACGAGCTGTTCGCGGCGAACTCCGGTCAGCTGACACGTCCCGGCCAATCTCCAGCAGACCCTCCCTCCCAGACCCTCCTACTTCCTGGACAGCATCCATGTTGAAACATATATGTTGAAACATGGATGCTGTCCAGGAAGTAGGAGGGTCTGGGAGGGAGGGTCTGCTGGAGATTGGCCGGGACATGTCAGCTGACCGGTGTTCGCCGCGAACAGCTCGTGGCGAACCGCTGCGAACCATTCGCGAGAAGTTCACGGACGGTTCGCGACATCTCTATTTGTAATGTGTGGGAGTATGGTATGTGAGGAAGTGGGTGGTGACAAATCAAACTGACCTTAGTGCCACTTAGAGCCGGGCCAGCAACAGTTTGCAGGTAGATGAGTAAGGGGATAATGCCAGGTCTCATCCTCCCCTATCTATTATGGTGAACCCTAAAGGGGACCAGGTTGAACGTGTCCCTACCGAGCTAAAAGCCTGCTGGTGGGGAGCCCAAAATGGAAGAGGAATTTATTATGCCGAGGGGGGAGGTGAGAGCCTTTAGGAAGGGGTGTGTTAGCTTGACAAGGATGTTTTGGTGACATTACTGTATGACATTAGGCAAGTTATTTATATGTTAATTTCTGATTGTGTTACTATGTACAGTTTTATATGTTTGGATGCGTTATACAGTATTTGGTTGTTTTAATAAATGCTGTGGCCTGTTATATCCAAGTTTGTGTCTGTCGTTATTGCGGGATTCATGGTTGGCTTGAAAGGGGATATCTCATCCAAACATACAAAGCTTCATCAATCAAATCTGCTAACAGACTATTCTTATACATAGTTTCCAACATACCCCAAGCAGGGATAAACCCTCCTAAGACACTTTCACCTTTCCAAGATTTACTGTTCTCTTATAGCCAGAGGTGCAGGTATTTTACCTGCACTCTCTCTCCTATTATCCTTATCTCTGTCCTATTATGACTACCTTCTGACAATTGATTTGTAATACAGAATGCTGGAGCAATATAGCCTCACTAACAAAATAATACATTAAATATTAATTACAAGATAACCTAAATTTCCCCACAAACTCCAGTATAAACCACTTGGTAAGATAATTCAATCATCACATATGTGAATCCAGTACAGAGAAAACTGTGACATTTTCCCTCTTAGTGAATATAATAGAGTTCCCCAGTACATCAATAGAGTGCAGTTTATAATTTACATTAATCAATGGAGTGCAGTTTACAAATTTGTACCTATGCATTCTGCAATCCTTTCTTATTCTAAGTGCATACTTCCTACTCCACTACTACTTAGACATGATTCCATCCATGATAGATTCCAGCAATCTAATGGAACCTATGTTTTTTCCTTTTTATTCATTGAACTTGGTAGCCAAAAACATTCAGCAAATTGTCATTTTTGAAAAAACAACCATTTTTAAAACATTAACTAAAATATGGATATGCTTGCTTATTTATTTGGTCAAACCCATAATCCTCACAGGCAAAACTACAAAACAAAATCCCTTTAATTGTTATTGTTACACAAACCTATTCTGTTTGTTGTAATTGTGGTCATTTAACCACCATAACAATAAATAAAGTAAACATTAAACAAAATTCACCCAACAATTTCAATTAGTTCTCATTCAATGAGTCTGCAGAAGCCAAAATAAAAATCCATAAAGTTCACTAAATATATAAACAACTGTGGCGATGTTGGTCTGGACCAATCAATAATTTATCTGTTTGACTATTTAAATTTAAGATGTTACAGGTTTTTTTCTCTGGCTATAGATAGAGGCACTTCTAAGTACTCTGTGTCAACATTTGCATATATTTGACACAATTTGGGACCAATTCTTACTATCAAGTAAGCAGGTGAATCAGAGGGCTATTAGATTCTCCTGTAGGATATTCTATGATGTACCTTTCCCGGATGAGCCTCCCAAAACAATTAACTTTTTGTGCTTGGGGAAAGAGGCAATGTCATACCAGAGTAACAGGTTCAGAAATTTGTTTATTAATACATCAAAGATAGCTTGTGATCAACAGAGACAATTCAGGACAGAATTCAGAATGATGGCATTTCTCATGACATTATATAGATACTGTATACTTACAAGAAAATCAGTGTGTATATATTTTACTGACTAAATAATCTGCAAATTTAAACTACTTCCTCATCATATGCAAACATTCTAAATTTCTATGATAGATTATTAGAACATTTTAGTGGAATTCATAGAAAAAGCAATAAACATAGCATACCGAGGCACTGCTGTGACTGTTCTTATTCTGATTTTTAAAATTTTACATTTATTGGGATAGACAGATCAGTTCTCTAGTGGCAAAGTTAACAATATTTTCACTTTTAGGATTGAATATTGATTTAGATATTTTGGCATGTATTGAATAGGAAGCATGTTTTTTTTGTACCAATTTGCTTTTAGTATGTCTTTTAGATATGATCATCTTTGTAAAATTAGTTATAGAAAAAAAATGTTTATTCTTATTAATGCATTGTTTTTTGCATGTGTAATGATTTGAAATATTATGAACATTATTTTCTTACAGTAATTATTGAAACCTTTTAAAATATATATATATATATATATATATATATATATACATATAAAGTAAGGGGATACAATAGTGCACACTAGTAATCACATGCATTTATATTTTTACTAGAAGATTTATATTTCCTTTACATGAAATATAATATTGTCTGTTTGTGCATTCTAATTGTATCACTAAAGTTATTTTGCATTCCAATGCAGGAGACACAGGTGGCTTTCCCTTACACTTTGGAGTAGTGGTGTCATAGTGGAGAGTGGCAACGAGCATGAGCACTCCACTGCAAGGGCATGACTTGCAGATATTTAAACATGGAAGAAGATGTGGGAGCTCCCTTCTGAAGAAGTCCAAAATATTGAAGGAAGAAAGACATTAGGCAAATATTGCTGCCTGGGTCTATTTAGTACTCACATAAACACAACTGCTAAGTGGTAATCATAAACTATATTCTCAAAATATTTACACTTCTCCAACTCACTTTGATGAAACCCTATCATTAAACAATATTACACAGTTACATAGTTACATAGGCTGAAAAGAGACATGTGTACATATAAGTTCAGCATTTCTCACATCTGTGTGTATTAATTGAATTAAATATCTCCTTTAAGATGTTCACCCTGGTGTGTTTCTTTCTTTTGTGCCCATAAATCCAGACTTGTGCACACATATACCATTTACAACCTCACTTTCATAAGCCCCTGTGGCTGTGTGCCCTTCCTTTCCACCTAAAAATATTGACAGTCTATCTTTGTAAAAGCAACGTCTTGTCCAGAAGTCCAAATGTTCAGAAGACATCACTGGAAAAACAAAATGGATGACAGGATTGCTAGCTGTGGGTGCTCTCTATTCCAACAAGATGACCACAATCTCACATAGAATAATCAATTCACATTTCACCTCACAGAATATGTGTGTAACCAAGGACATTCTGAATACCAGTTCTCGAGGAAATGCAAGAATTGTTACTGAATTTTAAACAGAGATTATCATATATATGCAGAGGTTAGAAAACAGTTCTGACATGAGCATCTGTGGATTAGAGCAAGTGGAGTCAACATTCCCCAGGAAGTTGTGTTTTATTATTTTAGTACTGCTTGAACTATAATTTACTTGTGGGTGTTGATAAAACAGACAAAAGAACAGCAATCAGATACCTCATAAAATGGCTTAGAATTCGCAATGGTTCATGCGCCTTCTGATACACTATTTGCATGTAAAGTGGACATAGGTCTCCTGTCTTTGAAAATAAGACTTGTTATATTCTAGACTATTTGAATCTGGACTATCCTTTTCAGGCAAACCATTGTAATAGCAAATAATAGACTCACGCAACCGTTCATTCGCATCATTGAAGTGCATATTCTACAGATATCCCTTTAGACCTATATACACATATTTAGACATATTTAAACTTGAACATGGAACACCCTTTCATTTACACTTAAATTACAAGATACATGACCCATAAGGTAACACTACTCAGTAATTTTTCCCATCAAGCAAAATTAATTTAAAAAAAATTAATTAAAAATAACATTTTGTGCCTTCAATGTGTTTGGTATGTTGTTGTTGTCTCTAAGTGAGACTTAGCAGTAAGGTTGCACTCAAAGGACAAAAGTAAGTCACTGGAAGAGTAGATTGACCAAGAAGGCATAAACTCAAGAAGTATGGTGAGATTTTTGTAGACTAATGACAGTATTTTTCATTACACCTGAGAGTGTGCAAGAAGCCAATGTAAGCAGTTGCTAAGGGGTGAATTGTGTAAGCAGTGGGCAATGAAAATACCTCTGGCAGCAGCATTCATTATATTTACTCTTTGATTACAACAATTTACCCTTTGATTTTGCCCATTAGACTAAGTGTTGTTTATGCAAAAAGAAAATAAATAAGAAACCACATGGTTTATTATATTTTGTCCCATAGCATTTCTGTTAGAAAGCAAATCTTCTTTTCTATTTGCCTTTTGGGCAAATAATTTTGCCTGTGGTTCTGTTGATTTTTCGCCACTGAAATAATTTCAACAGAGCTTAATGATATATTTGATGCAATTATTTTTTAATTACATTATATTAAAATAAGATTAGGGAGAGAAGTGATCTACTAAATAAATGCATTTATTTAACTGTGTTGTTTTCAGATTCCAAAGAAATATTTATCCTCTTGAAGACTATGTCTTACCAAGAAGTGTTAATTAAAAGTAATTTAAGTTAATTAGATCATTATTAAACTATAAAAAAGTATAAATTGCATTTCATTATTAAAAGGACTCAAAACTTTTTTTAAAATACATCACATGAAAAATTGCAAATTCTATAATTATTCAGAAAAGTGTGGTTCCCTTGGACATTGTGTCAGTCGGCTGAACATTTTACGGGGCAAAGGAATTTTTTTAAGTACTCAGAAAACATATGTTCTATATTTTGTTACTACAGAATCTTGTAAAGTCGTGGTAGGTGCAGCATCCTATTCTCTGTATGATATGATTTAACTGCATCAAAACTGTGATTGTTTGACAGAGAGTCTTTCCCTGCTACCATGCGCAAAGAAATAGCATAGTCATAGAATATTTGGCTTTTTTTTTTTTTTAGGTAAACCTTTATTTGACTTTTTTGACATGG